CCAGGCTATCTTCTTCTGTTCAATTTATTCTGTTGAGGGCTAATTAAGTAAGGACAAATATAGCTCTGATTCATTCTGTAATGAATTGTATGGTGGATTAGCAGGAGGCTCAGAAAACGTTATTTGCCTTCAAATTTGCCTTATTTGCCTTCAAATATTTATCTTTCTCTTGGGTTGGATCTTACATTGATTCTCCATGCAAATTTTATTCAGTTTATTTTATCAGACAAATATGTGTAAGAACAAAACATAGCTACCATTCCATATGAAGAGAAAGGAGAAGAGTGAAAGAACAAGGATATTATGCTATCCTGTTGGACTTTGTTAGTGTAAAGTTGATGATGAGAAACAACAGCAGCAATGCAGATTCATTCATTCATCTCTGTTAGACCATTTCAGAAAAAAAACATAGGGATAAATTTGATGCAGTAAGAGAACACTAGCAAAACCTAGAAAATTATTGGGCCAAACTATTGGCCCAGTTCTTCACCTGAAGGAATCAGTACAAAGCTAAGCGAGTCATTGTACCATGGAGGATTTAGTTTGAAAGCTAATATGCTGAAGATAAGACAGCTAAATATGATTTATGTTGTAATTAAATCCCTCCATTGATGAACCAAGTGACCTATTGCATTGTTTCTTGGAAGAGTATATAGAGGACTTCATAGAGGAGTTTATTAAATCCTGCATTCATGAAGACCAATAAACTAATCTGAACCTTTCTTTTTCCAAACAGAAATTCTTCCTTTGGAAATGATTCATCATTCTTCTGTGATTCCGTAAAACAAAGAAACAAACCAACCCCACCCAAAACCAAAATTTTTATCCAGAAGGAGATTCTTTCTTTGTTATTTATGTGAAAGTACTTAGTATTGTGTTCATGAAATATTGAAAAATTATGAGCCATGCTTGCCCTGCATGTCTTAAGTTTGTTTTAAAAAGGCTCTTTTATTTTGTGTTCTCTCTCTCTTTTTTTTTTTTTTTTTTTTTTTCTACCTGATTAATGTTTTCACATCTTTCGTATAATTTCAGTGATATCAATATCCTCATTTTCAACTGCTGCAGCTACCCTTTCTCTATAAGGATAGAGAGCGGAGAGACAGTCTCATGGACTGCAGGAATGAAGAAATTAAGAAATATATATACATGAAAAATATAAGCAATGAAATTTAAAGACCATGCATGCAACATGATGTATATAATTATGGCAGTTTCCAGTAAAAGAAAAATCAGTTTAATTTTTTGATTGTTTTTTAATGATTAAAAAAATATTATTTGATCTTTCATTTTAGAAGAAAACTATAAAAAGATAAGAGTGAGAATATGACAACGGATGGCTGCTTCTGTGGAATTTGTAGCTAAAGACAAGTATCTGTTCACAAAAGGATCTCAAGTCTGTTTTATGAATTAAATTCACAAAATGTATCTAACCTTGATGTGCATGAGCCTTTGGAGAATCAGTTGAACTGTAAATTTTCCAATCTCCATCCAACCCTCCTATCTTTGGATGTGTTTCATACAGAATATGTTACTTAAAACAAAAATCTAACAACACTCTAAACTTAATTAACGTATGCTGGTATGGATACAATAATGACGCTACGTACCCTACAATAGCTATTGCAGCAAACTGCGTGAAAACCAGCAGGCAATTCTCGTCTTTGCACTGGCTTTCTCATACAGACAGCTATTTTGATAGCCAATGTTTTTTTGCAGGATTCACTCTGGTTTCTGAACCATTTCCACTCATTATGGCTAGGACAATTGCATTCTTTGGAATTTGATCACGGAATTTTCCACCATGAAAGAGGAAAAGGCTATAGACTGCACTGTTTCTGAACTAAATATAATACTATACTAAATGCAGGTTTTCTCCAATGCAGGCATGAAGGTTCCAGAAAAAAAATAAACAAACCAATCTCCTCCATGTATTTCACATCCACATTTCATTTTAAGACTATTTGTTTGTGTAACTTATTTTAAATACTTGAAAAGCAATAATATTCTTTTTAGCTGTATTCATTGTACATTCCTTGGGTTATACGGTAAAGGGAATCTCTGGGATCAGAGATCAAGAGAGGAGTATTTTTAATGAATATCTATCTTATTTGTATGAGATATCCTCCCTCCTTTAAATCACTGCTTTTTTGTAAGCTTATTGTATAATATTTTATTTTAAAAATCAATCTGATTCCCTTAAAAAATGTATATCATAGAGAGTTGTCATCACAATTGTTATAATTATACACAAGAAACTAAACTGGCTTACCATGTTTTCTGCTCTTTTGTTTAGTAAATCTTCCAAAGATGGTGGTAGGTGTGGCAGAGGTTCAAAGCTCATCTGAAGACAGGAACATATGGCATATAAAGAGCCTGTTGAATAAAAGGATATGGAGACACACAGGCTTAAAATTGGAAATATGCTGTGAGAGTAGCAAATTTCTGGACTGTCCTGCAAGCTAGTATCTATTTTTGATGAGCAACCTTTAAGTGTCTGCCATAAGGTACGTGCAAAGTCCCCCTTTCTATAAAGTGCTAAGTACTTATACTGAGACAGTTCCCTATGATCTTTACAGTAGACAGGTTATCTCTTTGCAAATTACTGTACAAGTGTAGAACATGATTATCTTCCACCTTCCTTTCTGCCCTTCTATTAGATCACCCTCCCTTCAAGGCTGATCTGTGTCAGCAGCCCTTCTGAGGGCTCCTGCTCTGGCTTGGTGGAAAGTCACTTCTGAAGATGATTTAAAACATCTGGGATATCTTTGCTTTAGAGACACTAGAAGCTCTCATAGAACCCGTTATATTGGATAGTGATCTGAAAAGAGTGGAGGATTAAACAACTGGAGACAGTTCTATAAGAGGTTGTATGTTTACAGCCTTTGTGTGTTCTGAAACAGTTTTCCTTTTTATATGTATACACATATTCATACATGATTTCACATTAATCTTTTTCAAAGAGGCTTTTGACAGATTAGAAAAAGAGGTATTTATTTTCACAAGGGAAATACCAACAGCATCTGGATATTTATTTAAGTAGTATCTTATTTAATGTAATGCTAAACTGGTCAAAGTTTTATTTTGTCCTAAAAAAAAATTAAATATTACAAAAAAAACCAAAAACAAAACAAAACAAAAACTCTATGGTCAAATCCTTTAAATTCTGAGTGTTCATGAGAAAAAGCCTTAAAGTATTGAAAACACAAGTTTTCTAGCATACTTAGGTGTTACTGACCTGAGACAAACTTTCCACTGGAAAGAAATTACCAGAAAAATTTCAAACAATTTTTTTTGTATGAATGGTCTTTTTGAATACTAAGAGATTTTTTGAAGAACAGAGTGTTAGTTTGAGAAAAAAATCACCACATATTGCTTTATCCTTTATATATAATACTCATGTTGGTGGCTTCTATTGTAGTTGAGCTTCAAGAGTTTTCTTAGCTACTTCATCATGATTCTCAATAAATTTTAGCCTGTCAATCATTTCTAGACATGGAAGATACTGGTAGCTGGTAATAGTTATCCTGCACTTCTGCAGTAAAGAAGCTATGTTTATTAATTGCCCATTTTGTTTAGCTGGTCATGGATTCTGTTTTCTAGTTTCATCACAGCTCTTAGATGAATTTATAAGGTCTCTTTGTCACTTACGGAATGGGATTAGATTCCCTCTGTTACCTGTTTTTCAAGGCTAAACCTGTTCAGTTTGTGTGTTACGGGAACTCATGTCTTGTTCCAACTCATTTCTTTATGTTTTTATTCCTCAAAACTCATACTCCATTGCAACATAACTATGTGTACTTAAGCAGTAAAAACAGGGCACCCTGAAGATGTACTCAAGCAGAAGAAATATTATGCTAGCAATTTCCTTCACCTAGCTTCCAAAGAAAGTAATGCTTCATCTTAGTTTGGATAAAAAGGGAAGGCTCAATGGTGATCTTTGCAAGTTCTCAAGTGATAAAGGCTTGGTGAACACTTCCGGGCGATGGATGGAGGTAAAACGAGCCTAGATACTCTATTTCTAGTGTGTGTTGGTTGTTTTTTGTTTGTTTGTTTGTTTCTGAACAGGGATAATAGATCTTTGCAAAGAAATATTTTGCCTGTAATGCAACAATGGGAAGATTTCACTGCCCTGATCACAAATCCTTGAGAGCTGTTCAGATTAAGGAATTCCTGGATCATGATGTAGATATGATCTTCCTTATCTCTAAAGTGGATTAACTACCTTTTGTGAATTCTCCAGCATAGAAAAGTTTATCCTGATCATTAACTAATGTCTGCTTCCTTTTCCTTCAGTTTGATGCAATATGAAACACATTTTCCCAGCCTCTGCCTGCAACATCTCCCTTTCATTTTTTGTTCTCTTGGCCATCTTAGTTTTTAATGATGATTCTGCCACTGTGTTGTACAAAGAGAAATATTGCTGCTCATGGAATTAAGGTGGATCAAGTACTGTATGAATGATCCAATCAAAGTGAGTTAAAACTTTGAAAATTGATCCTGTGTTCATCTTTGCCTCTGACAATATGAAAGGAAATTGTAAATGCTTGTTGAGACAACTGTTATTCATGTTCAACATTTGTGCCAATTTGCTGGCTGTATTCCTAATTATTCATTCCTTTAGGCACACATTCAGTTTCTGACAATTGGATGCTTTCAGAAACTGCACCCTATGGACTGGAATTGTTTGTGGGTGTTTTCTGAAGGAGAGGATGTGGCCATTATAATGCATTCCAAAGTGCTTTGAAATGAATTCCCAAGTGTTTCAATCACTATTCTCTGCTCTAGGCCAAAAGCAAACATTGTTCTTACTGAATGAGATGAGATGAAAGTTTCATTTACCAGTGATGTGATATTAAAATACCAAGATACCATTACATGGGATGTATTTAAATGAAATATTATGAAAATGGAAATTGTATAGCCCTCTGCAGGAAGTAAATGCAGTTTGAAATGAAAGGTGTCCATGATAAATACTGTTATCTTCCCACGGTGTTAGATTGCTGCTTGCCTTTTTGCAGGCAACCAAGAAGCAAGGCTAGTGAACCCCTTTAGTGCAGCCTCAGCAAACATGAATTTGATTATAGAAACATGAGAAGTCCACAGGGCTCTGTAGTATTGTCTCCCCTGGCTGTGTCTAAGACAGGCACAGAGAAGAACTTGCACTTCTTCCCTGTAAAACCCTTTCAAATTATACAGTGGTTAGCTGAAATACCTAAATAGCCTTTGGCACAAGGACAAGAACCAGGACTCACATGAATCTGTAAGTCACTACATTGCAAAGCTCCATATTTCTTGTTTCCTCTCTCTTTGTGCCCAGTAATCTCCTTGTGTTTTTTTTCTCCATGTTGGACAAGGTGAAGATAATCTTTCCCAGTCATTTCTTAAAGAGATTGATTTAATTTCTCTTATGCAGAGTAGGAAATTGAACACTGAACATCTGGGTAATTTGTTATGGTGTATATCCATTTTCTGCATGTATATATATCATACATACATATATGATATATCATATATATTTCTTCCAGTGTCACAGACAGAAGCTCTTCTCCACTCCTGAGTAGAGGCATGGGAGGATGTCTGGGTTTTATTTCTGTTCTCAGTTTCTTTCTTAGCTACTTCTAAATAAAGGACAGCTGAAGCTCGGTTGGATTTTGTCCAGAGTCTTTGAGGTCTTACTGTGCTCATCTCACTCTGGTTCCTGCATTGCACATCACAGTGTAGTGCTGTGCCTACACACTGCACTCCTCTAAGATCTGCCCTTACTCTTTCTGCCTTTTTCAACATACAGTGAGTTCGTTTTGTTTGTTTGTTTGTTTGTTTGTTTTTTTACTGCTATGTGCTACCTCCTATCCCAGATTACTTAAAACAGTAGGATGGCAAATGGGTAATTAGTAATACAAAGTGTATTGTTTTCCATTTGAGTTGCATTGTCACATGAATGAATGAATGTATTTGTTCATGGATCTGTATCGATACAGATGTTACTCCAGTGTGATGTTTTTTGGAGTGATGGACTTTGTTGATCCCTCAGATCTTGATCGTACTTTTCAAATACATAGTTAAAGTGTTGCAGAGAAAACCCTCGAAATGTTACTCGTGTACCTGTGCGATATAATGTAATAAATGCAATGTAAAAGCCACTTCTGCCTAGGTCTGCGGAGAGTATGAGACAGCAGCTTTCAGTATGAGTCTTCCTATTCACTTCATTGGAGCCTCATTCATATCACTGTGCTAATTTCTTTAATGTTCAGCAAATGGTGATGTGTTCCATGATAAATTTTGTTCTCAGGAGACTTTCCTCCTTGTGCTTAAAATTTTCTTCAGAGTATTATTTTTAGATAGCATTCTCATAGAAACCAGACTCATCCCAGATTTATGCTACATTCAATTACTGCTGACAAAGATTTTTAATTAGAATGTAATGATTTTGTGTATAAGGCACTGACCTAGGATGTGATAGACTTCGATTCTACTCTTGATTTTATCACAAGCCTTCTATTTACTCACAGACTTATTACTTAACTGTGCCTATTTCTCTTCTACCTTTCATCTGCTTCATCTCTCAAAGAATGCAAATGTTTTAGGGAATGTGATTTTTACTTACTGAAATGTACAGAGCAAACACAATGCAACCCTGATCTCACCAAGGAACTTCAGTCACTACCATGTCACATTTATAATAGTCATGATTAATAATATATTCCAGATGAGCATCCTAAAGCCCAATTACGAAAGTTAAAGCAGCTAGTAATTTCTAAGGACATTCAGATCTTAAAAAACGAAACGAAACGAAGCGAAACGAAGCGAAACAAAATAAAATAAAATAAAATAAAATAAAATAAAATAAAATAAAATAAAATAAAATAAAATAAAATAAAATAAAATAAAATATTACTTTCTGTATTCCTTTCTTTAAATTCTGGTAACTAAGCTCCCAGTCCTATAATGACTTGTCTGAAAATCTGAGCATACTGTTGAGTAGTTTTACTGATGAATAGAGCTGCTCATGTTTGCAATGTTAAGTGTGTGCGTGAATTGTGGAATTGGAATAAAATATAAGAAATGATCTTTTTTTCATTGTTTTGAAATGCCAGTTTATGATCTTGCGCACAAATATTCTCCAACATGCACTGAAGATTTCTGATTTCTGACCCTTGCATGACCAAGTTATTGAATATACAACATGTTTACAAACAATTAATTCCAGCCCTCAAAAACAGTCATTTTCAATGAAAGTGCTGCCACATTCTCTGCATTAGCTGTCTCACTATAGGAATAAGGAAAGTCATGCCATTTCAGGCTTTTTAGTGTCTTTTAATTATGTGCAACCCAAAATTAATGAGCCAATTCTCTGTGTGCAAAAGAAGTCAGTGGTTTTGGGATATTTCTATACATACACTTCATAGATTCTGACTGAGGTTAGAAAGCTACTGTATCACAAATTAATCTCCTGTCTAAGAAAATTAGATGAGTACAGTCTAAGAGTGCCTGTTTGTCTGTTCTGTAGAAGGTGTGGATGATTCGATCTGATGAATTGCCTGCTGTTGGGTGAGACAAATACTGCTGCAGTGGACCATAGGTAAACTCCTAAAGACTCAGATCTGGATGCACAGTATAGATAAAAGAACCTGCCTCAATGTCTCTGAAGACAGTTTCTTTCTGTGGGAGTATCCAGAAGAAGCTTTCTTGCATTATGAAGAAGTCAGTTATTTTGTTTCAAATAAAAGGAATTTGAAATATCTCAGAGAATCTCTGTCTCAAAGAATGTGGCAGTTTGGGCAAGGCAGACAAATATATGAACTTTTTATTTTTATCATTACTCATTTTTGGTCTGGATGCAGACAAGTTTCTAAAACATTGTAGGAGCCTTTGTAAACCTATATTGTTGTTTTGCCACAAAATATTACAGAAGGGATAACCTGAAATATAACTCATCTAGAAAGCTGGGGCCTTGGAAAAAGCATGCGATGGCTTCTGAAGAACCAGTATACAACTTTAGACTGCAGAATCAGAAATAGTAACACTAACCTACTGAAATCCTGTGAAGCTTTGATAATATAGGCCAAGATGGGCCTGAACAGGTCTGGAAAGTCCCCAGTAAAGGGTGACTTAGTCCAGGTATATGGCACTAATGAAGCATTTCATGCTATATGGAAGCAATTCACAATTTCTGTGATGCTAATATCTGGGGCCAAAGCAAAACTGGATGACTGTCCCAAGGCAAAATCTTTTTTTTTTTTTTTTTTTTTTTTTAATTTGATTTCATTTTGTATTGGATCAAAAGGTTTAAAATGTTTTTGGAATGAACAGGGCCTTAAGATATTAGCTGGAAATTGTTGAAACATTTTGTTTTGACTTGGTCTGACAGTGATCCATGCCTGCTACATTTTTCTGATGTCTCATCTGAGCTGCGGTCTGCTCCCTGTGAGTGTCTGAGGAGCCACTCCCCATGTAGTTGCAGGATTAGCAATGGTGAGTTACAATTACATCAGATCAAGATTTGGTTTTGACTGTAGGATAAATCTTTACTTTCCCATTGTCTAATACCTTCCATCTTTAAATTTTGGACAGATGAAAATGTGTATCAGAAAGCTCCCACCTTTGGTGGTCTTCAGGAGGTCAGATGGTTTGCATTCAGCTGCTGGCTGCTAGCAGATATTCACTATAGAAGCTGGCACCTCTGAAATACTTCTGGAGATTTTCTGCTGCAAGGCAGGGATGAAACTGTTTAAGCACTGAAATCTTTCAGTTATGGCGTATCTATGCCCTTTTATAGTGACCTGATAAATAGCTAACAACAAACATGGGTGTATTTATTTGCCATCCAAAGGCAGGGAGTATATGTGGACATCTCTACCACAACACTGTGGCCAATGCTCCTTATAAATTGCTCATAAAAATCATTGATGAAGTTGGCCCTGCTACCAAGTCTGACAGGTACTCGGTCCTTTTACGTAAACTGAAGTGCCAAGTTCCAAACTGAGGGTGACTGAGAGTGCTGTGTGCATAACCTGAATGGGCTGGTGGCAGGAGAGGTTGGACCAGGTATGAGAGCATCCAGGTGAGGCTGCAAGGGAAGATCTCAGACAGGATTCCCATACAGCAAAGATAATGATGAAATGTATTGCATAAGCCATCAAATGAGAAAAGAGACCTGGTGACAAATATGGTGACTTCAGTGGAAGCCTTTTGGAGCTATGTCATTCCATTTTTCCTAGAAACACAGGGCTTACCTTTAGAAATAAAACTCACTAGCCTGAGGGTGTAGCTTTTCTTGGGTTTGATAACTCTGTCCAAGCTGTCGCCTCTAAACCCACCAGACATTGTTCTTTGGACACGTCTGTGGGCAGGGACCTCCTGACTAAGAGTCTATGGGCATTGCAGTACTTGGGACCTTGGCACTGGCACAGGAGCACCCCACAACAACAGCAACAGCAAAAACCCCAATGGCTGTTGCTGGTAGTCACCAACAACCATGAAAAATGACATAAAATGGTGATGGGACATCCCAAGTGCTATTCGCTATGAGATCGAAGAATGAAGGGAGAGTTTTAGCTTGGGATAAACTGACTTCAGATAGATTTGTTTTGATGCTTTTAATGGATTTTATATATTTTGATCAAAAATGATATTTTGCTGTAGGGAAAACACTTAGATGGAAAATTTCCTATCAGTGCGACTCTCAAAGAAGCTTCTTCATTTAATCAAATACTTGTCAAGCACACTTCACACATCTCTCACAGCAATTAAAGAAGCCATTTTCCTGAAGTAGGGAAGGCGTTTGGTGAGACACTATTTTAAATATAAAATATGACATGTTTTGTCAGGAGTATCTTTAAAATGATGGTCTTGCTTTATGCTCTGATTTTCTCTCTGTGACTGACTGGTTAGAATTGATATCACTTTTAGGCTAATAATTTAGCATGTTTTTAATTAGTTTTCTATTTGCCTCTGACATTTTACTCAATAAAAACCCTAGAAAATATTTTTTTTCCTGCAAAAGGGCTATACATCAAAATTCAGACACCACCTCAGAAAGGTGCAGTACATTTATGACCTTGTGTGATTAGTGATCTCTGAATCTAATCTTAAGGTACTTTAATGGACTATAATTATCTACAGTGTATAGTTACTGCCTTTCCTGAGATTGATTTAAAATTGCCTCAGGAGGCAAGTGCTGTGTAATTATCTGATAAGAACTAAACTTGATACTCTCACTAGAAACTTTAGGAAACACAAAAATAAATATAGTTCAGGACA